TGTAGCACTGTTGCACTGTCTTCCCATTGTCCATCTATTTGCTTGAGTGGGCACCAGTAATGTCTCCATTGTGAGACTTCTTGTTACTGTTTTTGGCATATTGAATACACCACGTGGAGCTTGACAGGCTCTGCTGTGCAGGTGGGATACTCTCGGTAGCTTGCTGGGCTCTCCCAGAGGGACAGAGGAATCAAACCCAGGTAGGCCGTGTGCAAGGCAAACACCCTAACTGCTGTGCTATCGCGCCAGCCTGTGTACATATATAGAGTATATATGTTTTAACTTATCAACCATAGCTCCCTGAGACATTTTCTGATATTTTTTCGGTCTCTATTTCCTTTCATTGATAACATTCAGAGAATTTAGGATTATAGACTCACCTCACTTTATTGTCCTTCTTACTTAATTTATTTTTATATAGTGCTAGGATCAAACTATTTAGCTTCATCCTCAGACTCTCATGCTCCGTCGTCCTTCTTAAGCTTCCTATAGGAATCTGTTGGCAGTGTGCTGCCACCTACTCTGCATACAAAGAGCTTGTCTCTTTCTGGCAGTGGTCATGACCCCATTTTGCACAGAGATAATGAGTGTCAACTGCCATCAATTAAAATCTCCCCTCTGAGGGGTGTCCCCCAGGTTTTTTGAGGTCTTTGACCAGGTCCAGGTGTCTCAAATGTTGGTCCAGATAAGTGACTAAAATCTTCAGGTGAAAGTTCACTATCTCAGACAATTTTTCTGCAAAGACAAGGAAATCCAGAAGGTTTTATGAAGGATTCATCAATAGTTTATGATTTTTGGATCTATTAAGACTTCTTTATGTATATAGGAACCTCAGTAATGGCCAGAGAAATAGTACAGTGGTTAAAATATCTGCCTTGCATCAGGCTGACCTTAATTTGTCCGCAGAACTGCTTATAATCTCCTGAGCACCACCAGGAATGATCCCTGAGCACAGAGCCAGGAGTAAGTCCCAAGCCCCACTGGGTGTAGCTCAAATACCTTGCCCTCACATACAAAGAAAAATAACCTCAGAAAGAAAGGGGAAGCCTTTATCCAGATTAAAAGTCTTCGAGTGCCCTTAGGCTTCAGAAAATCCACTGCCAAATCAATAGATGAAGGTTTTATTTTCTAAGCTCTTGAAAAATACTAAGAATTTATAACACAGACAATTACCCAAGAAGCATAGATGCTTCTGTCTAAAATTTAGTTTCCTTGTCTGCCTATACATGCTGATGCTGAGAGATTGAACTTGGAGATCCTGGACCCCATATGATTTACACTTACAGAGTCTCAAGTGTCTGGATGCCAATAACTACCCTCAGGTAAATGATTCTCTAATGTGCTGGCAGCACATTTTCAACAAGGCTTTTCAGAAAGGGTCACTTTATGGGCAGAGAAGATAGGTTTTGTTCTTCAGGCCATTGCATAGAGGTGGGAGATAGAAGACCTTGTGACAGTGGCAAAGCACACACATTGCATTGAAAGTACTAACTCTTAACCTTGATTTTATTTAACGGGGAAGACCCTGCAATCCACTCATCCCAGAGTTGTTTTTTTATGAACACATTTTTATTGAGACAGTTAGTTTGTAAATGATTCATTTTAAGTATATAACACTGTAATTGGAGATCTGTGTACTCTATATTGTGATCACTCTAGAAGTTTAGTTTTCACCCATCACCATTCAATTGACCCTTTTGACCTCTGCATACCCACCCACCTCCTTCCCTGTTGGTTCACTGCCAGATTAGTGGACAAAGATGTGTTGTATGTGATAGTGGTATATTACTCAGTTATAGAAAAGGATAAATCTCACATTTGTGACAACATGAATGGACCTTGCAGAGATTATTATGCTTAGTGAAATAAGTCAGACAGAGGAGATACGATTTGATTTCATTCAGATAAAGAATAGAAAGAAATAGAGTAAGCAAATAAGACAAACACAGACTTTTAGATACAGACAACACCTGTTGCAGAGTTTTTAAATTTTTAAAAATTTTTTGGCTTTTTGGGTCACACTCAGCGATGCACAGGGGTTAATCCTGGCTTTGCACTCAGGAATTACTCCTGGCAGTGCTCAGGGGACGAAATGGGATGATGGGAATCAAATGCAGAGATTTGAGATTTGCACAGCGGTAGGGAGTTTGCCTTGTGCGCAGTCAGCTCAGCCGAGCTGGGTTCGATTCCTCCGCCCCTCTCGGAGAGCCTGGCAAGCTACGGAGAGTATCTTGCCCACATGGCAAAGCCTGGCAAGCTCCCCGTGACGTATTCAGTATGCCAAACACAGTAACAACAACAAGTCTCAAAAATTGAGACGTTACTGGGCTTGCTCAAGCAAAATCGATGAACAATGGGAGGACAGTGGACAATTTTTTAATTAAATATTTTATTAAATAATAATGGCAATGTGCTAGGCATGCCCTAGATCTATGTCCAAAGTACTTAAAAGCCTGTTTACTTTTTTCCTTTGTCAAATAATGCCTCTTGTCTCTTTTACTGTGTCTTGAGTGTAGCTCAGTTGCCTCTTCTTGAGAAACTGACCACCTCCAACATCCATGGCAAGCCCCCTCTGAGACCTTCCAGGACTCTCTCATTCAGCTTCCCTCCTTGCATTAATCTATGTCCCTCAGGGAAATTCATGTCCTGCAGAAAATCTTGAGCTCCTTTTCCCTGGTTTTGCAGAAAAGTTAACTGAGACAATGTGCCTAAGTGAGACTGGATATCAGGGACACAACCAAGATAGAATCAGATCTTTGGACACCAGAATCATATGCTCTCATGCAAGGGCTGTATCTGCTTGGTCATGTAATAGAAACATGCATTTCCTGTTCCCTCTGTAGAAACTTCCTGGGACTGGAGACCTCTTTGGAGCACAGATACTTGGAGATCCTGAAGCAGAAAACAAATACCGTGGCATGCTGCCTTTTTTCATGAACAAAAATATTAGAATTTTATTAACTTTTTCTTTTGATTATTTCAGTTCTTTTTGTTTTTGTTTTCTCAGAATTTCTGCACCTTGGCACTTACTGGAATTAGGGGCCAGGTAAGTCTTGTCTGTGGAATTGAATTCTGCATTGTAGGTAGTTTAGGAAAATATCTTGATTTCTACCCACCAGATGCAAAGAGCATCCCTCTCCCTTAGACAATCAGAATCATCTCCTGACTTGATTGCATGTCCCCTGGAGAACAAGCCTGGCCCTGGTTGAGAACCATTTCTCTAAGCTGGAATCAATTCCTGTATTTACCTCTCTCTCCAATTTAGTAAAACTCTCATGGGACAACTGCCTTGTGCTCAAACCACCCCCCATATCACCCCCTATCATCCCTCCACTTCCTTTCTCTCCCATTATAAGAAATCAGAGCTATGAGGACGGCCACTTACAGGAAACCATAAAATCATTCTCCCGCTCACTCACCTTGGCAGTGAAGATAACACAATCAGGTTACAAAGGCAGGGTTTTTGGAACTTCAAAGCTGAACCGAGGGAGTGGAAGGACAGAGCCAGGGAGCTGAGGTCTTATCTGTAGCTCGAATGTTCTCACTCTTATCAGCACAGAAGGGGACCCTGGGTGGGGGGCAGTCAAAAGGCCAGGTTGCTTTCTATTCTTCACCTGTCCTGAATCCAAATAAGAATAGGAATAAGGAAGGAAAGCAAAGTAGGAAGAAGGGTGACAAAAAGTGGATTAGGGTGGGTGAGTGAGTATGTACTCTATATCCCGCTCCCATTCCTACAATAAGCCTTCCTGACCTGGATTATACTGCAGAGCTTGTGGACCAAGGAACCTGAAACTTAGACATCTCAGTGTTAGTTTCATGAATATCATTATAATACAACCTATACCTTACCTGCTGTTTTTTTTTTTAATAATGCAAGCCCTTGCATGGCAATCCAAATTTATTGAACTACTGATGCTAAGTTATACAAAATTGCACCACTTTAATTAAGGCTTTTAGTTTACATTTGGCCACCTCCAAGTAGTTGTAACATTAGGTTGGTCAATTTAAATACTCTGGCTCCCTTTTGGATAGACACACAATCTTGACACCCAAACGTTAATGCATACAAAGCAACAAGGAATTGTTAAATAAAACAGCAATAGTTACTGCAACTTAGGCCTTGTAACGAATTAAACATGATTAAAATTACTTCCCACATTCACATCCACAGTACTCTTCCACCATTTAACATCTCAACCAAAATGTTACACATGTGAAACAATCACTAACAGGCAAACGTACTAAACCTGTATATTTGGTATTGCAAATACACTTATGCGTGAGCAAGCAAGGGATTCATAGTGAGAATCTACAGTTGCAGAAGTCTGAAAATGATTTACAAAAATTGTCAAATCACTAAAAAACTATTTGAAAATATACACTTCTTGTTGTAGACCCCCACTATACATATAACTATAAATATTGTTCCCTATTTAAACAAAAAAGAAAACATATAATAAGAGATTTGAAAAGCCTGGACATTTCCTTCCCAACAGATATTAAAGGCAAAGTCTTTAATCTAAGACATTATACTGAAAAGACTATCATATTTTAAAGACAAGATCACTGTCTCCACAGGTTTTTAAAAAATTAAAAGAAATATAGCTGTGTTAATCAAAGCACTTATTTGTATAATATAATGATAATGACTTTAATTTCTTAAAAATTTACAATAAACTACAAGTATCAAAGAAGCAAAATTATCTGGAGTAGTCTATATAGGAAATCTTTGGACTTTCTTTAATTATGCTAAAATAGTGGTGCTTTTAGGATTTACATTATTGTACTCTCCAATACAAAGTATGGGGCATGTTAAAGTATACAGTACACCATTTTCAGACATAAAACATTGTTGGATGAAAAATGTCTCTTAGCACTAATACTGGATTGTAGCCTCTGGTTTGACCAGTTGTATACTCTAGGACTATTATATAAGTAAAAATCTCTCTTGTGATACTGTAAAGTGATTGGAATGTGCAAACTGATGTGAATCTGCCTCTTAAAGGGTACCACAACAGGAAAGTCCATTTAAGATGTTGGTAGGTTTAATAAAGTTGGAATGCTGGCACTGTTGAATTGGGCAACAGTTCTTCAGACCTGGCTCAGAGCTACAATGCATTTCGTGTATTAAAGCAGCTGACAGGAGGACTTTTTGCCAGCCTTACTATGCACTGGAGTTTTTCTGTTAACTTGCCACACTAGGTCATAAAAGATCTCATTAACATTTATTTTTGATTTTGCAGAGGACTCTAAGAATGCACAGTTGTTCCATTGTCTTGCTCGATTTTGACCTTGTTCCTTTCCTACAATTCTTCCATCTTCCAAGTCACACTTGTTACCAACCAGAATCACTGGAACGTCATCAGTGTCTTTAACTCGAAGAATCTGTTCTCTCTGATCTTGTAAATCATTACATGTAGACTGTGCTGTGATGGAATACACTAATGCAAAGCCTTGTCCATTTTTCATGTACAAATTCCTCATTGCTGTAAATTGTTCTGCTCCTGCGGTATCCAAGATTTCAAGCATACATTGTTGTACATCTACTTCAACTTGCTTTCTGTAAGAGTCTTCTATTGTAGAATCATGCTTCAACAAAAATTCTTTGAACAAACTGTGCAGTCAGAGCAGATTTTCCTACGCCTCCTGAGCTGAGAACCACACGCTTGTATTCACGCAAGGTGCAAATGTGTCAAAGGCTAGTAAAGAGAGGGTGGGAAGGAAGCAAATCACCAACTTAACCATAGGATGAGTGCTTTCTGGGAACTTCTCACGCTGTCACTGGGTGCTCTCGCCAGCAGCGCGGAACCCTGTGCTTGGGGGCTCTGCTCCTGGCCGCCCCCTTACCTGCTGTTAAGGGAGGACCTTCGCTGAGTAGCGCTGAGTGAGGGAAAGCTGTTTTGAGGCCATCTACTATAGGCAATGAAACCCTAAACATAAATAGCTGCAACTGCAGTCGAGCAATAAGAGTCTTTACGAGATCACTTTGCCAGAGTTGAGGGTAAATCACTTGTAGAGGTTTGGGCAAGTAAGAAGAACCTAAGAGGATAATTAAAGTTACAGAAACTTTCTATAATTTCCAATAAGTTAAACTGTATTTGATATATCTTATGTGCAAATAAACTCATCTCATAAACTCTGGAATAGGGGACCTATTTTAAAGTTGAGAAAATGGAGGCCCTGAAGTGTTTAGTAACTTTCAAGTCACAGAGCAAGTTGAAAGATAAACTGGGAACTGAATTAGAGAGCCCCATTTTAGCATGCATGCTCTAAATCAAGGTGCTGTCTATCCATAGCTCAGAGGGGTCAGGATGCTAGATAGAAGAAATACCATGAACTTGGGTATTGTTTGAAGGAAGAGCAATGGACTCAGTCTTGTAGATGTAATATTTGGCCTGCGAGGAGGCCTGGAGGATGAGGAAGCAGTTTAGCCCTAAGCAATGATCGCAGAAGTGTGGGTAGATGGAATCACGGATTTGGAATTATGGAAAGGGATTCATGGACAGTAAGAATACACTGAAAAGAGAATGGGAGAAAGAATAAAAAAGAAATCCATCTGCATAATGAGAGGTTCATTGGAAATTCAAGGGAGTTTCAGGAAGGAGGGCACGGTCACCAGAGACAAAAGCTATAAAGAAGTCTATTAAGATAAGAGATAAAAAGAGGCATTGTTCTTCACTAGTTTCACGGTTTCTTCTTGGTTTCCCCACGCACATGGAAGCCTTCTTGAGATCAAGAAATGCATGCAACTCTTCTTTAGATTCCTCCCAATGTTCAGACTTGTAGAAGGCCTCTTACATGTTAATGGGTGCTTGGGTTCTTGTTGACCTTTTTCATTATAGAGACAATGAGTTTACATTTAAATTGTGCACATCTGTTGAGGAGGATATTCTGAGTGCCTACAAAACTAGGTAGGTCCTAATTGTTGATGCATATGAGCAGCGACTGCAGCTTCTTGATCTTCTCCTGAATAATCAGGACAAAGTGAAATCTTTTGACTACTGAAGACCATCTCTATGCTTGATTTTTCACTGAACTCTTTTTTGTGTGCTTGTAGTGGGTGGGAATTTGGATTAATAGTTTTGGCTGTAGTACTCAAGTAGTAAGATTGTATTTAGCAATGTCAGTAGAGCTGAGAATTGAACCCAGGATCTCATACATTCAAAGGTATGTGTTCTACCAGTTGAACTACATGTACACTACCCCTGACATTTGGAACATGTAGCTCAATTCTTACAACGTGGGTATTATACCTTAATTATCTAAATGAAGTAATTGTGAGAAATATTTGCTTCTATTATGGGCTGGAGCGATAGCACAGCTATAGGGCATTTGCCTTGGAAGTGGCCAAAATGGCCAACCTGAGTTTGATTCCTCTGCCCCTCTCGGAGAGCACGGCAAGCTACCAAGAGTATCTCGCCCGCATGGCAAAGCCTGGCATGCTCCTCGTGACGTATTTGATACGCCAAACACAGTAACAATTGTCACAATAGAGATGTTACTGGGCCCACTGGAGCAAATTGATGAACAATGGGAGGACAATGACAGTCAAGGGCCATGCTAGTATATGAGATACTGTCAACATAATTATCCAGACCCATCTGACCCAGAAATCTTTAACAAAACCTGCCACATGAACTGATTGCTCCTGTCTCATTTTAGGTGGCATCTTCATTTTGGTGAACTTCACAGCAACAGTTTTTTACGCTCCATCCACCATATTTTGCATATTTTTATTTTTTATTTAGTAAATGATTTTCAGTCATACAACACTGCTATACTACATGCATCATTAGAGTGTCAGAATTCCTTCACCAATGTATCTAGATAACCTCTCACTTCCCTTATCCTACATTGCTCCATTGCAAACTCAATTCTGTAGACAACTCTCAAATTCTATTGTTAATGGTAAATTTTTTTATTCTAATACTATGTTTCTTTTATACTTTTCATTTATTTTATTGGCCATGTCCAGCTGTGCTCAAGACTTATTCCTGACTCTGTCCTCATGATGCTCAGAGGGGCATATTTAGTGCAAACCACAAGCGAGTTAAACATTGAAAACCCTGTAGTACCTTTCTGGCCCTGTACTTTATGAGAGAGAGAGAGAGAGAGAGAGAGAGAGAGAGAGAGAGAGAGAGGAAGAGGAAGAGAGAAATTTCATTTGGTATTTTCCCTTCTCCTTTTAATCACTTCTCTCAGTGTGATACTACCCAGTTCCATGGATGTAGCAGAGAACATCAGGATTTTACCTTTTCTTATTGTTGAATTGAATACGTTTTTGTTTATATACCAGAGTTTTCTTTATCCACTCATCTGTTCTTGGGCACTTGGGTTGTTTCCAGATATTGGCTAATATGAATGATGCTGCAGTGAATGTAGGAGTGCAAATATTTTTACAATTGAATATTTGTGTGTTCCTGAGGAAGATGCCCAACTAGTTAAATCTGACTCCATTCTTAATTTAAAACCTCTGTGTTGTTTACCAGAGAGACTGAAGCAGTCAACATTCCTATTGACAGAAGATGAATTCCTTTTCCTCCATAACTCCACATACATCCCCACCATTGCTTGTTTCTGGCTTTTTTAAAAAACCACACTGGAAAAGCTCATCATTCTCCTGCTTCTGCACTCAGGGATTACTCCAGTGGTGCTTTGGGGACTATATGGGATGCTGGGGATCATATCTGGGTTGGACATGTGCAAGGCAAGCACCCTACCCACTGTACTATTGCTCTAACCCTATTTCTACTCTTTTAGTTTTGTGGCATATTCACTGGTATGATGGTGTATATCTCATTGTAGGTTTGATTTGCATTTCCCTGATGATAAGTCATAAACTTTTTTAAAAACCAGAGCTTCTTATCTATTCTCTACACATATATTTTCATTTATCAAACTTTCTTTCTTAGAATTTTGCCTTCAAACGATAGCTACGATCATTTCTCTGAATTCATCTTACTGTTATATTTCTTCAGAGTTGTTATTTTCAGAAAGTAAGAAGTAAAATGCTGTCCTCAGTACACGTATCTAGATTTTTATCATCTGAATCCTTTTGTTTTGGGGTGGGAGGCAAGTCAAATTTTCCCTCTGTCCAGTTGTACCTTATTTCTTACTTCCCTGGATTCCCTATTCTAATTTTGTGCACCCTGTATTATAGGGTGGGAATTAATGTGCCTTAGTTCTCCTTCTCTTTGGTGCTCAGAGTGCATACCTGTGTTCTGTAAGTTTTAGTTTTCCTCCCCCTTTCATAAGGATTCAAAGACTTTCCAAGACCTCATTAAAAGATTCTAGTATTTTTCCTCTGAGTACTTAGTACCCTGGGTATAGATGACTAGGTATGCATTCTGCTTGATATTTTGTTCCATTCTTTCACTTGACTGTTGATGTCTTAGAGAACAAGGATCATGTAACCTTCCAGTTCAGAGTAGAAGCTGAGCCACTCCATTTAAAATAAGTGAGTGGATTAAAAATTTTAAGTCTTTACTTTTTAATTGAGTATTGTTTTTCACATTATATATATTTCAAGTGTATAGTCTTGGATATCTATGTACTGCTTTTCTTTTTCTTGGTGCACCATTTATGGAAGTACTGTAATTCCAGGTTGATGAGTGGAATAGATGGAGCAAGTCCCTATTCCTAATTTCCTAAATTCCTATTTCCTAATCCAAAAAATACATTTCATATGTTCTCCTCAGATAGAGAATATATCAGTTATTAAATTAATAAGAATAGATACTACACTTGATCTTAGCCAAAAGGGCGAGAAGCAATATCTATATACTACTTTATGTTCACCACCTAAATTCTACTTTCTAGCCTTCACCAGAGTCAACCCATTTTACCCAATTTCCAAGTCCCATTCTCCTTTTCCTTCTATTTTGTTCTTCTCCAGTGAATGATTTTTGAGGAATAGTCTGCACTGGAGCAATAGCACAGCAGGTAAGGCATTTGCTTCGATTCCTCCACCGAGGTTCGATTCCTCCATCACTCTCAGAGAGCCCGGCAAGCTACTGAGAGTATCTTGCCCGCATGGCAAAGCCTGGCAAGCTACCCATTATGTATTCGATATGCCAAACACAGTAACAACAAGTCTCACAATGGAGACGTTACTGGGCCTGCTCGAACAAATTGATGAACAATGGGAGGACAGTGCTATAGTGCTACAATCTACACTGAAATGTAGGAAGCAGTGGGATGGCATGGGGACTCCACAGAGAGGTGGTATCGCAGTGATCTCACAAAAAAATGTCTTCTTGTCTCTTGGAGAGGCACTTAGGATACCCCGCCTCTGCTTCCAGACAGTGATAATCCTGCCAAACCTGTCTGGGTCAAAGCCTTGCCTTGAGTCTCATCTTTGGAGTTCAGATTTCTTTTGGCTTTGACTGAAGCAGGAAACACTTCCACTGTGAGGTTCCCCTCTTGTGTGCTGGCAGAGAACAGAAAGCCAGATGGAAAATACCTCCAGCCCTGAGCTTGGCTGGAAAGCGAGGTGGGTGAGCATGAAGGCCATCTTTCTCTCTCCATTTAAAACATATTTGGCAGGGACAGTAATCCAGACAAGTGCATCTGAAGTGTTGTAAAAATTAGCAGGACTTGGGGATGAAAGGAAAATAATTGAGATGAAGACAAAGCAAGCTATCGCCTCCTCAATTATCTTTCCTCTCCCATCCAAACAAAGGGATGCATTCTTGTTTTAATGGAAACGCAATGCCTTTACTGAAAGGAATGTCCAATAATGGAATGTTCAGGCAGCAAAACAATAACGGAGAATTGGGAGGCAAGTAGGCCCTCCAGGGGCCACCACTTACTTTTCCTGCTGGTGGGAGCAGCCCCTTAGTGTGTGATGTAAGACCATGAACACTTGATGATCTCATCTAAAAGAGAGGAAACAGTCTCTGAAATACAAGAAATCTCACAATCATTCTTCTTCCTTCCACTGGTTAGAAAGTACAGTCACTGCTCTGGCACCTTTTTCCCACTGGAAATAAGCCCTTTCCCTCCCAGACCTTTCATCCTAGTTGGGGAGGGAGAGAGTAAATGCATGACTGTAGCACTGTAGCACTGTCCTTTCATTGTTCATAGATTTGCTCGAGTGAGTCCAGTAATGTCTCCATTGTGAGACTTGTTTTTACTGTGTTTGGCATATTGAATATGTCCAGGTAGCTTGTCAGGCTCTACCCGCTGGTGAGAGAGATACTCTCAGTAGCTTGCCAGGCTTTCTGAGAGAGGTGGAGGAATTGAACCTGGATCTGCTGGGTCTCTGCATGCAAGTCTAACACCCTACCTGCTGGACATGACTAAGAAGAGAAATCAGGCACTGTGCTATAAAGAAAATAAGAGGGGGGGACTGAATAGAAGGTACTGATTTTGGGGGGTAATGGTGGGGTAATATGTGTTATTTTGAGAAGGATTGTGGGAGAAAAGGATAAAGATAGAATTTATCAATGACCTAGCATATATATGTGTGTGTGTGTGTGTGTATATATATATATATATATATATATATATATATATATATATATATATGCTTTTTGGGTCACACCTGGCAATGCATAGGGCTTATTCCTGGCTCATGCACTCAGGATTTACTCTTGGCTGTGCTCGGGGGGCCATATAGGATGCTGGGAATCGAACCCGTGTTGGCACGTACAAGGAAAATGCCCTACCTGCTGTGCTATCGCTCCAGCCTCAAGCCTATATTTCTTGCATAACCCTTATAATGCAATGAGATCCTCAGGGCTTCTCTCAGAGAGGCTTCTCTCTTTTGTGGTTCCTTCTAAGAAGCAGCCAAAAACTGCTCAGAGAAATAAAAATGCCTGGAAATAGATTTCTCTGGGATCTTTAAAGAAAATACCTGGAACCTTCCAGTGACAACTCGAGGATGGGGCTGAATGAGGGCGGACTCCACCCTGGGAGTGGTTAACAGCTGTTCTGAAAAGTCAAAACACAGGTCGTTTACACTTTAAGGAAGTAGGTGCACTTTATCGGTACAGTTAGCAAAGGTAAACATAGCCATGTCTTTTGATGATTCTCGGAAGCCGTTCACCTGGACAATAGCAATGTGCAAGGAAATGCAGCAGTCTTCAAATATTGGGAAGAGTGGCAGGTGGCAGGGGAATCAGCCTTATTTGGATCAGCTATGGTGAGGTGAGAGTGAAGCAAGCATCAGGTTGTTGGTCGGAAAATGCTCATAATCCCAACAAACTAACAACAATATGAGATTTCCAATGGTAGGAGAGAAACACTACATGGCATCACTAGAACCACCTGCTAAAGGATCCTCTTCCATCAGATTAATGAGGATTCAAAGCAGGAATACACTTTAGAGTGAGAGTTGGAACTATATGAATGGTTTCCGACCTTGGTGATACATCAGAATCATGCCAGAACCCAATGTTGACATCTAATAGTATGAACTCTTGGATTCCTTTAGTAATTGAAGATTTAAGGTACTGATGGGAACTTCCATATACAATTACACATTTTTCTCATAACTTGGATAGCATCATGTCTCCTGGGAATTAGCTAACATGATATCTGCAATTTGGCTGGGTTCTACATATAATAAATTTATTTCAATAATCTTTTGGTGAATTATATTCAGTGTGCTGGACATTGAGCATGTACAAAAGGTTCTACATGGTGTCTGATGCATGGCAGACACTGAAGGTTCCTAATTGTCATACCTCTCTCTCAGCACTAGGGAAAAGAAATGGAGATTATAGTAAAGATGTCTCTGCTATTTTTCTGTTTCCAGCAAGAGGGACTGTAGTTGAATTATTTGTAAACTGCCATGAGAAGGACAAAAAGTACAGAGGATAGAGATTTTGATTTGAGGTTTTGTTTGGCAGAAAAATTCCAAGGGGAACTAATGGGGAGGGCAAACTACAGAGAGACATCCTGACTCATTTGGAGAGTAAAGTCTTTGCTACTCAGCCTTGTGGGTGCTGCTTCTGTGAGTGGTCTACTTACCATTTCAGAGTTTTGACAGAGAAAGCTTAACTTGGAACCAAAGTCTCTGGGCAGGAAAATGGAGAATTTTGCCAACATGCTCATTGGAACCTCCCTAATGACTAATTTTTTTTCCCTGTCGCAGGACCAGATCATGGTACTATATCTCATGTTAACTTATTTGAATTACCAACAAGTGGCTGGAAGTCATAGACAAATCATCCCCACTGTGTGCACCAGCCTACTGCAGTCATCCAGCAGCAGATTTCTAAAATTGTTCCTAATCTAAGTTGCACAATTAATCTCTTTTTCAGAGACCAGGAATCATGACTGAAAGGTATAGTTTTGGTGTCTAGAATGGATTTAAACTCTGTAAGTCTCAGGAGGAAAGGAAGGAAAAAGGCTTTGATGATTCTATGGTTAGATCTAACACTTAATAGATGTTAATACCCAGGATTTAGGCATATCAGTTCTTTGGTATCAGTGTATTTCCATTATAAACACAAAAAGTCAGAGTTTCAGAGGTACTTGGCTAAGATACATGTACCTAAGAAACCAGTTTTTTAGTAGGTGTATGATATAATCCTAAACCAGCTTGCAAATGCCCTACCCGCTGTGCTATCACTCTAGCCCCAAAGTACTACTTATTTTTAATGCCCTTTGGAATAATCTGGGAAAAAAATTAAAATACCGAGGTCAGCATTTTACTCCCAAGAAATTCTTGTTTTGTTAACTTGAGGGTACATCCTGGGTCTTTGATTCCTTTTTGTTTTGATTTTGGGGGCCACAACCACCAGTACTCAGGGGTTACTTTTGGATTAGTGCTCAATTGTTCAGAAGTTTCTGCAGAACAGAGCTGGGAGACTGGTGTCAGGGGTCAAAGCCAGGATCCTTGAATGCAACGTACTCTCCAGCTCATTGAGCATTCTTCCTAATCCTGGGCCTTCAATTGTTTTCAAGATCCCTAACTGAGGATTGAAGATGTACTGGTCCCAGAACTGCAAAGTGGGAGAAGCAAAAGCTCAAATAGTAGAAAGGGGGGCTGCAGAAATTCAGCTCTATAGGGGAACTGGGGCAGCATATGACAAGGGACCCAAGGAACAAACAAAACTGGCTCTGAATCCCAGGCCTAATATAAAAACAATGAATGGAACCCAGGAAAGGGAGACTGTATTGTTGGCAGTAATGAAGAAGATGAACACAAAGCCCAATAAGACTCCAATTAAAAACTGGGCTCCAGAGAATGGAGGACAGCAGGAGGATGTAAAATATTTGGGACCTAGAAGGAGCCCAAGTGAATTTAAGATTTCCATAGGAGGCTGTCCCGCTATCCTAAAAACATATTAAGCTATAATCTTGGGAATTATATAGGCAACAATGCTAATGAGAATGATAATAAATGTTCTGACATTAGTTAAGTGAAAAAAAAACTCATAAATTCATTTTACTTTATAGTCTATAGGGGTTTGAATGATGTATTCATGTTAAAAGATGTATTCATATTAGAATTCCTTAAAAGATATATTCATGTCAGAGTTCCTAGGACCTAAGATTATGATCTTATTCAGAAAATCGGTCTTGGTGGCTGTAATTGAGGCAGGGATCTTGACATGAGATCATCCTTTTGTATTTGAAGACAATAACCTAGTGACAAATGTGCTTATAAGAGAACAGTAGGTTTGAGGGAGGAAGTTAAGGGCACAGGAAGACAGAAAAAAAAGACTAAAATGGTGTTTCACAAATATATATATATATATATATATATATATATATATATATATCTCCTCCAGAATCTGGAAAGTCAAGGAAGAAGTTCCTGCTTCCTGAGCTTCTTCAGAAAGCACAACTCTCTCAATATCTTGATTTTATATTTTGGGTTTCTAGAAACCCAAGGAACTATATTCTTTTATTTTTATTTTTATTTTTATTTTTTTATCCCTTTATTTTATTTTATTTTACAGTTGTAGATTTACAATTTTTTGTGCTTTGGTTTCAATTATACAATGATCAGATACCCATCCCTCCACCAGTGCCCATTTTCCACCACCATGGATAATATCCCTCCCACCCCCATCCCCCCATCCCCCCTGTCTCTGTGGCAGGGCAATGCCCTGTGTTCTCTCTCTCCTTTTGGGTGTTGTGGTCTGCAAAAGAGGCATTGAGTGGCAAACATGTTCAGTCCATAGTCTACTTTCGACATGCATCTCCCCTCCTGGGAGGATCCTCCAAACATCCTTTATTTGGTGCTCCCTTCTCTATCTGAACTGCCCTTTCCTCTAGGATACCCGGCTGGCCTCTAAGTTATGGAGTAATCCTCCTGGTGCTGATCTCAGCTATTCTTGGGTATTAATCTCATACTTTGTTACTTTATATCCCCCAGGTGAATGCAATCTTTCTATGTCTATCCCTCTCTTTCTGACTCATTTCGCTTAGCATGATACTTTCCATATTGTACCACTTGTATGTAAATTTCATGACTTCATCTTTTCTAACAGCTACATAGTACTCCATTGTGTAGATGTACCAAAGTTTCTTTAACCAGTCATCTGTTCTTGGGCATTCAGGTTTCTTCCAGTTTCTGGCTATTGTAAAGAGTGCTGCAATGAACAAACAAGTGCAGATGTCACTTCGACTATACATTTTTGCCTCTCTGGGATATATTCCCAGGAGTGGTATTGCTGGGTCAAATGGGAGCTCAATTTCTAATTTTTTGAGAATCGTCCATACTGTTTTCCAGAAGGGCTGAACCAGTGGACATTCCCACCAACAGTGAAGGAGTGTCCCTTTCTCGCCACATCCACGCCAGCATCGGTTGCTTTTGTTCTTTTGAATGTGGGCCAGTCTCTGAGGTGTGAGATGGTATCTCATTGTGGTTTTGATCTGCATCTCCCTGATGATTAATGATGTAGAGCATTTTCTCATGTGCTTTTTTGCCATTCGGATTTCTTCTTTGAGAAAGTTTTTGTTCATTTCATTGCCCCATTTTTGGATGGGGTTGGATATTTTCTTCTTGTGGAGTTTAACCAGTATTTTGTATATCCTGGATATCAACCCCTTGTCAGATGTGTATTCGGTGAATATCCTTTCCCATTCTGTAGACTGTCTTTGTATTTTGGTCACTGTTTCTTTGGAGGTGCAGAAGCTTCTTAGTTTAAGATAGTCCCATTTATCTATCTCTGTTTTCACTTGCTCGGCCAGTGGCGTGGCATCTTTGAAGATACCATTAGCTTCAATGTCGTGGAGGGTTTTGCCAACTTTATCTTCAATGTACCTTATGGTTTCTGGTCTGATGTTGAGGTCTTTAATCCATTTTGATCTTACTTTTGTACATGGTGTTAGGCAGAGTTCTGAGCCTATTTTTTTGCATGTAGCCGTCCAGTGATGCCAACACAATTTATTAAAGAGGCTTTCCTTACTCCACTTCACATTACTTGCACCTTTATCAAAGATTAGATGAGCATATGATTGAGGGGAGATGTCAGTGTATTCAACACTGTTCCATTGGTCTGCAGTTCTGCCTTTGTTCCAGTACCATGCTGTTTTAATTATTACTGCTTTGTAGTACAGTTTGAAGTTTGGGAGGTTGATTCCTCCCATTTTCTTTTTCCCAAGAATTGCTTTAGCTAAGGAACTATATTCTGTTGTACTAAGCTACTCAGTTTGTGGTCGTTCATTGTGCAGTCCTAGAAATTGAACTCATCACTTTTGGGCACTAACAACTCTGGGGCTGTCAGTCTTATTTATTCCAATTCATTGACAAGCTGAGAGATTCTTAATGTTTTGCAGATATTGCAATGGTGAACGCAAATACACACCCAGGAAATCTGGTTCCACAACTTAAACACACAGGTGACAGCATTTGGTTCCGTATGTTGGATTCTGGGGACTCAGCAGGGTTCTACTACACAGGTTCCACAGGGGTCCTGCTTGGTGCCTGAGTTTTTGAATTCCTTTCGAGTCAACTCATTTTAAAGGTCTTGATTGAGTCAAGAACAGGAGAGGGTCAAAGCAATGTTTTAAAAATGGAGGGGACAGAGAAGATAATAAGAGGGAGTAAGGCACGAACATGATGTTTAGCTGGTTTTGATACTGCTTGTTATGCCCTACATATCACTGGGAGTGACACCTGAGAAGAGACTCGGGAGTAACCCTTAAGTAAAGCTGCATGTAGTCAACCCACTGCTCAATAATGGAGGCAAAGTTCACACAACACGAAAGTTACCAAGTAAAAGTGAATAATCCAGAGCTGGTTGGTACCCCAATAGTACTTTACAGTCATTTCCTTAACATGGAGAATTTTTATCATCTCAAAAAGACCTGTATCCATTAGGTGGATGCGTCTAATTCTCTCTCCACTCCACTCAATTTATGTTTTATCTGGAGTGTTATAAATAGCTCACATAAAAGAAGTTTCCATACTATGGTCCTTTGCATGTGGTTTCTTTTTCTTAGGCTAGTGTTTTCAAGGTTCCTACACATAACAATGAAGAATATACCAATACTTTATTCTCATTACTGTTGAATAATAGATTCAGGCACACCTTGTTTTATTGCACTCTGCTTTATTGTGCTTTGTGGGTGCTGTTCTCTCTCGCTCTCTCTCACTAACAGATTGAGGGTTTGAGGCAGCCTTCCCTTGAGCAAATCATGCTTACCAAGTACTGATCACAACCAGTTCCAGAATACAACAAGCAGGTGACTTCTAGTAACGGTTGCTGCTAAGTACAAGAAGGAAATAATGAACAGTTCATATGAGTGTATCTTATACGGTTTTGTGTGGCTCAGAAATGCTCATCTTATTATTTTTTTTCTCTTTGGGTCACACCCGGCGATGCACAAGGGTCACTCCTGGTTCATACACTCAGGTATTACTCTTGGCGGTGCTCAGAGGACCACATGGGATGCTGGGAGTTGAACCTGGGTTGGCCGCATGCAAGGTAAACGTCCTACCCGCTGTGCCCCTCATCTTATTCTTGAAAGCCAATATGATCATATCACAGCCTTGTCTAAACTTCTTCCATGGCCACCTGCTTGGTTAACCTGGTTCCTGCAGCCTTTCCCAAGTACACTGCCCCCTACTCTTTTCTTAGAATCTGCTGTACACATTTGCTCCTGGTCTTCTTAATGATTCCTGCTCAACAGTACCTCGGTGTTTTTTTACTTTCTCTGCTAGCAATATCTTTGTTTCCTGTTCAGTTGGTGAAGTTAAATCCTGCACTAGGCATTTCTTCTGCATGAAGTCCTCGCCACCCTCCATTTCCCCCCACCAATTTTTATTTAGGCACTGTGATTTAAAATACTATTAATAAGAAAGCATCAGTTGTACAGTATTCCAACACTTAATATCCAGAATCAGTCAGTTTTCTTCTACTAGAGTATTAAAGTCCCTTTCCATCCCATACCTGTTAAGGGTATGTACTTTATATTCCTTTATATGTTCCTTTATATTCCACATATGAGATAGATCTTTCTGTGTTTGATCCTCCCTGAGTTGACTCAGCATAATGCCCTCTACTTAGATCTCTGTGGTAGCAAATTGTATTATTTTATCTTTTTTGATAGCTGAGTAGTATTTCATTATGTATTTGTACCACTATTTTTTTTCTCAGTTAAAAATAGACAATTTTATTGTGGGAAATTTTGAAAGCACAATTTACTTCATAATTTTGAATGTGGGGATAGTGGTCCAATGGCATTTTCATAGCACTTTATTTTTATCCATATAATGATTTTGTATTTGGCTTTGTTTTGGGGTCACACCCAGGGTTCTCAGGAATTACTTCTGGCTCTACACTCAGGGAACACTCGTGGTGGGGCTTGGTGCACCTTATGGGGTGCAGGGGATGAAACCTGTGTTGGCCACATGCAAGACAGGTGGCTCTATCCACAGTTGTACCACTATTTTTTAAAAAAATGTAGGAGTACTTATATTTATTCAGCCACTAAATAAGTTGACTGAAGCAGGCATGAACTTCACATTACTTAATTTTTTTTTTGT